GTTTGGCGGGCCCGGGCTGGGGATTCGAACCCGCCACCTTAGGTGTATGTGGCTGGCGCCTTAGCCGCTTGAGCCACAGGCGCCGAGCCAGGATGTTTATTTCTTTAAAAAATACTTATTGATGGGTGGTGCCTGTGGCTCAGTATGTAGGGCACCATACTGAGGGTGATGGGTTAGAACCTGGTCCCAGCCAAACTGCAATGAAAAATATAGCTGGGCATTATGGCAGATGCCTGTAGTCCCAGCTACTCAGGAGGCTGAGACAAGAGAATCACCTAAGCCCAGGAGCTGGAGGTTGCTATGAGCTGTAACACCACAGCACTCTACTGAGGGTGAAAAAGTGAGACTCTGTCTCTGTAAAAAAAAAAAAAAATATATATATATATATATATATGTATGTATGTATATATATATACATATATACACACTGAGCTGGGTGTGCTGGCTTATTCCTATAATCCTAGCACTGTAGGGGCTGAGGCAGGTAGATCCCTTGAGCTCAGGAGTTTGAAATCAGCCTGAGCAAGAGAAAGACCTTGTCTCTATTAAAAATAGAAAAACTAGCTGGGCATTGTGGTGGCAACCTGTGGTACAGGATACTTGGGAGACTGAGGCAAGAGGACTGCTTGAGCTCAAGACTTTGAGGTTGTTGTGAGCAATACCATGGCACTCTACCCAGGGTTACAGACACTGTCTCAAAAAAATAAAAAACCTATTTAAGGAAGAATCAGTTACAGTTTCTAACTTAACCAGAAACTGAACAAAGACCCCAATCAATATAGTACATCTGATTCTAGATGTAGTGTATATCTACAACAGTACGTACCATATGGCTATAGTACTTTAAGGAAATAAATACTAGAAGTTGGTATAGAATATATCTACTAAAATAATGATGGCTCTGCAACCATAGCTCAGTGGTTAGGGCACCAGCCACATACATCAGGGCTAGAGGGTTTGTACCAGGGCCAGGCCTGCCAAACAACAATGACAATTACAACAACAAAAAAGTAACAGGGCATTGTGGCAGGCACCTATAGACCCAGCTACTCAGGAGGCAGAGGCAAGAGAATTGCTTAAGCCCAAGTGTTTGAGGTTGCTGTGAGCTGTGACACCATGGCACTCTATTGAGGGTGACACAGTGAGACTCTGTCTGAAAAAAAATTAAAAATAAATAAAATAATGAACATAACATACGAGAACATGTTAAAAAGGACTTAGAGTTAAACCCAACAGAAGGATAAGTGAAAACATTAAGTAGTAACGATAACTGCCAAGGTAAAAATCGACTTAACAAACTCTAAGCTAACAGAATAAAGGATACCTCAAAAAAAAATACTGAAGAGTAGTATGGAATATTATTGACTTATTACTCAAAATAGTATAAATTAAAATATAGATTAAAAATAAAACTTAAATACCCATAATAGATTACACTAAAAGAAATAAGATATACTATCTTTAAGGCTGAGATAACTTAAAACAATAATTAAAAAAAAAAATTAAAAGCCAGCTACTTATATAAGGTGAATTAACTAATTCAAAAAAGATTCTCTGTGGTAGATAATTTTAAAAAATCATATGTTTAATCCAATCTTGCCTGATAGTCAGAAGACTTCAGGACATAGTAACACTGTCAAGAACAACATTTAAAATGTACTTTTCAAACTATTGCATACTTTTTCTTTCTTTTATAAAACCTAGCAGAATTACATGTGGTTAAAAACAATGTAACTTTAAACCAAGCAACAGATATTTCAGCATTTTATTGGTCTGTGAAATGAAATGTCACAGTACCTCTTAGAAAATTTAAAAAGACTAGTTTTCTTAGTAAAATATGAGCATTTAATCAAAATACTTATTTTTTACAAAAGTATTATTTTTTATAATCTGAAAATTTTGTATAATGTAGATTACACTAAACATTCCCTTATGTACAATAAGACTCAGAGTAATAACTGCAGACCATTGCTACTAATTTAACAGCAAAGATAAAAAGTACTGAATCTAAGATAAACAAACAGAGACAATTTTCTCAGGGTTAATGCAGAACTTAAGAAACCCTAACCAGTAGCTTAGAGCACTATTTAAAACAACTCAGCTTCCTTAATATTAAATTAATCATGTTTTTCATATGTTAATTTTTAATTGTAAGTAACTAACTCAAACAAATCATGGCATACATAGAAACAAACAACTTTGAAGGTGTTATATGTAATTCAACATTATTAAATTCCATCTTTTACGGTCTTTGTGTGGAGATACCATGGACTTTAATGATATTTAAATATGTATTATTCAAATAAAGCCAATTATATTTATATTCATGGCACACATAAAATATAATTTTATATAAATGAACACTAACTTTTCTCCGTTGCCCCAGGCAAAGAAGGTCCCATCCTTACTAAATGTACAGACTTTGCAATTTTTCCCAGATTCCCTGAAAATGGAAAAAAAAGTTTAAACAAATAAGCATTAGTATTTTTTAAATCTGATCATAAACTCTACAATCTTTAATAACTAAGAACTTACACAAATTTCAGAAAAATCACAAATGTTTTAGTCTACCAAAATACTTTATCTTTTAAAATTCAATGCTAACATGCAAAGTAAGCTGAAAATTGACTTTATACCAACAGATGAAACTTAACAAATAGAACTCTTTTGAGTGAATTACATGTTTGTGTGGAAACCCCAAAATGTTATAAATTACCACTGGCAGCCCTAATCTTGAGAATGCTGTAGGATTTAAAAATGGGGACTTTGTGGCAAATGATCTAGACCGCCAGCATAACAAAACAATAGTAACCAGAATATCCTTAAGTGGCCAGCAAATGCCCCTGAATTTGAAGGATGAAAGCAGAGCCTTCCATCAGTGTAGAGATAGCAAGCCTTAGAAGAAATCTTCCCATTAAATAAATGCTGATGCAGTATTCTGTACAAAAACAGATGTGTGGAAATTAGATGCTTGGCAATGTTCTATGGAGTAATCCAAACTATAAGTACTGGCCAGGCATGGTGGCTCACACCTGTAATCCTAGCACTCTGGGAGGCTGAGTCAGGTGGATTGCTTGAGCTCAGTTGTTTGAGACTAGCCTGGACAAGAGCAAGACCCCATCTCTATTAAAAATAGGAAAACTGGCTGGACATCTTGGTGGGTGCCTATAGTCCCAGCTACCTGGTTGGCTGAGGCAGAAGGATCACTTGAGCCCGGGAGTTTGAGGTTGCTGTGAGTGCTGATGCCATAGCACTCTACCCAGGGTGACAAAGTGAGACTCTCTCTCTCAAAAACAAAACAAAACAAAAGTATTATATCTCTAAGCGGAAAATGGCCACTATGAATATATTTCCCAGTGATAACAAAGACCCAAAAAGAAATGTATCTGTGTACATGCAGATGCCCATTAGTACAGTTGTAACATTACATGAGAACATCATGGCTAATAATAATATGAATTGCTAAATAACAGCAAATGCACTGAGAACTGACCAATACATCAGTATTAAGCTGGACATTCTTTGTATTAATTCATCTGAAGATGACATTGTGCTTCGGTTATCACACAATGGTAGCTTATACTCAGTTTATAGTTAGCAAAACATTATTTTTTTCCTCTTTTCACTTTAACAGCTATGACCAAGATGTTCTCCAACCTATACTTGTATAACCTATTTCTAAACCATAAGGCAGAATTTTACAATTATCCTTATTTAATTCCACCCAGGTTTGAGCCTATCATTCAAGCCTATTGAGATCTACTTAAATCTTGATTTTCTCTTTTTAAAACATTAGTCATTCCTTATGGATTTATGTAATATGTAGATTCTAAAACATCATTCCTAAGCTATCGTCTAAATTACTTATAAGAACAGTGAATGAGCTCGGAACAAGATGCTGAGGCTCACCAGTCCTTCCTTCAAACTAAAACTTATCAACTTACTTCATACTTATAATCAATGACAATTGTGTTGTCATCATCCAACCTAAAGACTTTATTTCTAAGATATGTTTGTCAAATTATCTTTACAGTTCTATTTTCCTGATGTGTCTGGAAATTCTACTCAGAAAGAAAATGAGATAAGCTTAAAACAATGTTTTCTTAGCTCATTCTGACTTCAATAATCAATCCCCTTATCTCAATGATAATATACTGTCCTGTTAATATAGCATTGTAGAACTGTATTTAGCATTGAAAGAAAGCTTGAGAATAAAATCCAGAATTTCTTTTCTTTTTTTTTTTGAGACGGAGCCTCAAGCTGTACCCCTGGGTAGAGTGCCGTGGCATCACAGCTCACACCAACCTCCAACTCCTAGGCTCAAGCAAGTCTCTTGCCTCCACCTCCCAAGTAGCTTGGGACCACAGGTGCCCACAACAATGCCTGGCTATTTAATTTTTTTTTGGTTGCAGCCATCATTGTTGTTTGGCAGCCCGGGCTGGATTCGAACCCGTCACCTTAGGTGTATGTGGCTGGCGTCTTAGCCATTTGAGCCACAGGCGCAGAGCCCAGAACTTATTTTCTTTCCCATCATGGAAACTGGGAATTTTGTCTATTTCACTTTGGTGTAAATTTTATTTACGCAAAAATAGAGAAAACGTATGATATTCTACCCATGTGCCCATCATCCAGCTTCATAATAATTAAAGCCAATTTTACTTATTCTTTACTTTTTTTTTGAGACATAGTTTCACTATGTCACCTTGGTAGAGTATCATGACGTTACAACTCACAGCAACCTCAAATTCTTGGGCTTAAGCGATTCTCTTGCTTCAGCCTCCCAAGTAGCTAGGACTACAGGTGCCCAGCTATTTTCCTGTTGCAGTTGTCCTTGTTGTTTGACAGGCCTGGGCTGGGCTTGAACCTGCCAGCCTCAGTGCATGTGTCTGCACCGTAACCACTGTGCTACAGGGGCTAAGCCTATTCTTTACTTTCTTTAATGCCATAATATTTTAAAGCAAAACCCAGATGTCGTTATCGTTTTATCCTATACTTCAGTATGCATCTCTAAGTGATGAGTATTTTTTAAAAAGCACAATCACCACCATGCCGCTTCATCTCACAAAATTAGCTTCTTATAGTCATCTAATACCCAGTGTCTGGACTGACTATCTGGGTCTAAAAGCTCCCAAAGTCATTCCAATGTGCAGCCAAATTTGAGAACTACTCATCTATAAGACTGATTAAATTTAGAGGTTTTTTTTTCCAATTTTTTTTTCTTCATAGAACATAAGCAGTACATAGTTCCTATTGTAACTCCACAGGAGGCACATAATATTTCTTTGTTCTAAAGTTATACTGAGATTGTACAGGACTCAATCAACTGCTTTCTTGAATCCTTTTAACCCTTCCTGCTGCCAAACTTCAACTATTCAACCAAGAGAACTGGTCCCCTCATCTCCTAATGCTGCTGGTTGTCCCAGAATCTCCGGGAGTAAGGCCCAGACATCTGAATGGCTTCTACCAGGACCACTGCATGGACAGGGGCAGGGAGAGGAGCGCTATCACTCAGATTCAACTCAAACAGGCGAAAAAGCTCTGGCTACAGATAAATTTTGTACTCTTCCTCCCCACAACAGGTCAGTTTTGAGGGACAACAGTTCCACAGCCTCAGTAGACAACAATCTGCACAAATGACCAAGCAATTCGGCCATATTTTGTAGATCTGTGGTCAGCTTGGGGCATCCCCACATCCCTTCCCTGCCTCACTTCCCTTTCCCCCTTGCTCCTGCTGTCACTGTCTTAGCACTGCACACCCTAATGAAGTGTAGCACATCACTTTGCCACACTGTTTTCTAGAGTAGTGCTTCTGGAACATTAATGTGCATAAAAATCATCTGAGGACCTGGTTAAAATACCAATTCTGATTCAGTAAGCTGGGTAGGGCCTGAGATGCATGTCTGTACTGGCTCACAGGTGATGTCAATATTGCTGCTTTGGGATCCACATTTGCTTAGCAAGGTTCTAGAGAACTGAGCCTAATAAAAATTTGCCAATACATAGAGATGATGTCAGTCTAATTATAGAGTTCCTCATCAGCAGTCATCAATAGTTCGTGTTATCACTTCAGGATCTTTGATGATCATCTGCCTACATCAGTAATTTTTTTTTTTTTTTGCGCAGTTTTTGGCCAGGGTCAGGTTTGAACCCACCACCTCTGGTACATGGGGCTGGTGCCCTACTTCTTTGAGCCACAGGCACCGCCCTACATCAGTAATTCTTAAACTGGAGACCCTAGTCTTGAAGCATCAGCATCACTTGGGGACTTGTTAAAAATGCAAATTATGCCCCACTGCTGATCTAATCAATTAGAAAGTTTGAGAAGAGAGTTACAATCTGGTTTTTTTTTTTAGAGATAGAGTTTCATTTTATTGCCCTCGGTAGAGTCACAGCTCACAGCAACCTCCAGCTCCTGGGCTTAGGCAATTCTCTTGCCTCAGCCTCCTGAGTAGCTGGGACTACAGGCGCCTGCTACAACATCAAGCTATTTTTTTGTTGCAGTTTGGCTGGGGCTGGGCTTGAACCCACCCCCCTCGGTATATAGCGCCAATGCCCTACCTAGTGAGCCACAGGCACTGCCCGCAATCTGTTTTAAACAAGATTTTCAGATGATTCTTGGTAAAGTGTGAGAACTGCTGGCCTAGACCCATAATTTCTTTAGGATTATAAAATGATGATTGCCTAATCCCATCATTCCTTCTGCATTCACTAACTAGAACTCTTCAATTAAAAAATTTTCCTCATTAACTATTTAGTTGCTCTGAAAGACAGTTTATATGGAAAAAGCAAGATAAATGCTTGATTCCATCTGTTTATTTATTAATTTTCGAAATACTGAGTAAGGATTCCATCAACCACCAATGCTGACCAATAAGGTTTGAAGGAAGAATTTTTTGGATTTTTTTTTTTGAGCACTTACACATTTGACATGCTGTAGCTTTTTAGTTATAATTCTTAATGCTCATGTTGTCCCATGTTAAGTTGGTGTGAATGCCCTTCAAACCAATTCCTATAACTTTTTTTTTTTTGAAACAGAGTTTTACTCTGTCACTCTGCATAGAGTGCTGTGGTGTCACAGCTCACAGCAATCTCAAATTCTTTGGCTCAAGTGATCCTCCTGCCTCAGCCTGCCAGGGAGTAACTGGGACTACAGAAACCTGGCTAATTTTTCTTTTTTAGTAGAGACGGAGTCTTGCTCAGGCTGGTCTCAAACTCCTGAGCTCAGGTGATCCTATAACCTTTTAACAAAACCCCATAGTCCTTTATGGCATCCTTGCTTTCTGGCACAAAACGTCCCCAACTCCACATGTACATTTTCTATCCTAGACCTAGAATTCACTACTTCTCAAAGAAACTAATTAATTCCTGTTAGTGAGGAATAATAGTATAATCTGTGAGACAGGGATATTCGTTGCTAATGGGTTATCACTGTTTCCAGGCCTTTTCAGTGGATAGAAATAGGATATCAACATTTTTATTAAAAAAAAATCATGAATTCATATTGCTATGGGAAAGTCTACCTCTTTACTCTCATGCTAAAAAGTCTTGGTTCCTAATGATGTTAATATAATTACCTATTTATTCTATAATGGATTCAAATGTCAGTATCAATTTTTGGTTAACAATAAAACAATTGGATGCTTTTAAGAATTTTATAGCAGTTCAGTGCCTGTAGCTCAGTGGCTAGGGCACCAGCCACATGCACTGGGGCTGGGAGGTTCGAGTCTGGCCCGGGCCTACTAAACAATAATGACAACAACAAAAAATTAGCTGGGTGTTGTGACTGCTGCCTGTAGTCCCAGCTACTCAGGAGGCTGAGGCAAGAGAATCACTTAAGTTGGAGGTTGCTATGAGCTGTGACTCCAGAGTACTCTACCGAGGGTGACATAGTGAGACTCTGTCTCAAAAAAAAGAATTTTATAGGTCTTCATACCGTTATGCCATCAACTAGCTATACGAAGTAAGGATCATTTATTTCAGTTTCCTATTTTAATTGAGAATTGCTTAAGCCCAAGAATTTGACGCTGCTGTTAGCTGTGACGCCAGAAGGCAACATAGTGAGACTCTGTCTCAAAAAAAAATTTTTTTTAAACAATTACATGGTCCAAAAGTCAATACTATATATACTAAAGTTCATTCACTGATACATCTTATAATCTTGTAACTCTCTCTCCCATAGGTAAGCATTTTTACTAGTTTTTGGTTTACTCTTCCATCAGTTCTTTTTGGGAAAAAAATAGCTGGCTAGCTAAATATTACGTACATTCATAGATGACTACCTCCCTTCATAGACCACCTCCTTAAGTTGACCTAATTTTCACAGACTAGACATGCACCACATGTACAGGTCAGTACAGTAGGCCTACTTTCATATGTTGACCAGTTTGTTACAGTCCTTTGGTGGTCAATTTACAGGGGTTCTACGATATAGTCATATTTCCTTTTTATACACTTTGGATTCTCTCATTTCACAAAGATTACTGGTAATAGTTTAGCTATAAAATTTAAACATTTTTCTCACTCTGTAAAATGCTTACAAACTACGGGCTTTAACTCAATTATCGAGTGTCTACACTTTTTCTTAGTATTATTTCCCTAACGCTCCTAAATAGACTTAAGTTACTTTCAAATCTGAAGATACCCCATCTTTCCTTCTCTTACTCCCTGTTCTCTTCTCTCTTTCTCATCTCTTCTCCTACTCTCTTCCCTTTCTCTAATATAAAATAAACTCATACTTTTGTATTCTTAAAAAAAATCTGAAGATCATTTTCTGTACTAGAGAATATGTATTCTTTCCATGTTGTGTTATTATATATTCCAAACAAATCATTTATCTGTTCTATTCCTTTTTTGTTCAAAATATACCCAGAACAAAAACACTATAGAATATACTACATATGTTCTCTACAGTATCACTTTACAAAATAAACCATACCTTGGAAACACTGTGCTTTCTGTAAAATGTGGTGGTCCATTCACCATATATAGTCCTTCTGATCCTCGGACTGAAGAAATAAAATGAAAAGAACCACCATTACTCAAGCATGACACATTACAATATAGAAAAGGCCATTTTTTTCTTAATACTATAGTTAAGATTTTACCAAAACTTTGAGGGATTAATAAAAAATGGATTTCTCAAGTGGGTTCATAATTATCAGATTTCATTTTATTCCTACATTACATAAAATTTTGTCAACTTGAGGACCTACCCACAAGCTGTAGCTACAATGTAACAAACTTAAGAGTTCTCTTTCAGAATTTACACACAGGTCTAGGAAGCAAAATGGCACATCTTTAATGCAGTCCTAAAGAACCTGCAGTATAACTAGAAAAAGTTGATGTAAGCAAACCATGTTCTCTCTATTACCTTAACCACTGGCCCCAGAACATGGGCCTGAACTGACTGGCAAGGAAGAAAAAAGAACAAAGCTTTTACCCAGCTCATCTTGGCTTCCTGTGTTCTCCTGAAACTTTTAACTATTAGCCTTGGTTTTCCACATTTGATTTGCTGCTATCATCAATCATCAGGTTTAATTGGGGAAAACTCAAAAGTTTTTATATATTATGAAAGTGGCAGCTGTACCCAAGAATGCAAGCAACCTTTCTGGCTATGACAGTGGGAACTTTCATGGTATTCAGGGCAACAGATTTTCTTTTGTAAAATTTGTATTTCTTTTTTCCAAACTAAAATATATAGAAGACCCCAAAGGAATGGGAGAAGAAAACCCACTTAACCCAAACTTTTTCACACAGATACTCACCCAATTTTTTTTCCTCTATAGACAAAGTCTTGTTCTGTCTCTTGCGCTGGAGTACAGTGGCATGATCATAGCTCACTGCCACCTTGAATTCCTGCCCTTAAGTGATCTCCCCATCCCAGTCCCCCAAGTAGCTGGGACTACAGGTGTGTACCACCATGCTCAGCTAATTTTTAAAAACATATTTTTATAGAGATGGGGTTTTATTATGTTGACCAGGCTGGTCTTGAACTTCTACACTGAAGTGACCCTCCTACCTCAGCTCCTCAAAGAACTGAGAATACAGGTGTGACCTACTGTACCCCGGCTAACCCAAAATCTCAGAAGGCAACATTTAATCAGCTTGAAAAGTGCCATCTCTTTCCTGCTCAAGTAACATTCAAAGTCTCAAGTGGTCTCCAATTTCTGTTTTTAGTATGTTTCTGAAGAAGGAAAATCTTAAGTCAAATTAATCAACTGCTTTTTGACATGTTCACATTTGAAATAAAGAAGATTTCTAAAAACAAAACCCTAAAGGCTCCATTTGCAGTAATTCCATTTACATAACACTCTTGCAATGATGGCCAAAGGTAGAGTGGAAGAAGGATGTGACTACAGAAGGGTCCACAGAAGATTTTTGGTAAATGGAGTTATATATTTTAATAGTGGTAGTTGCAGGAATAAAATTTTTAGTTACATATACACAAGTACACATAAGTAAAACCTGAATAAGGATTCCAGTTTAACAAATACTATTTGTACCAGTGTCAATGTCCTATTTTTGATAATATACTATGTTTACATAAGATGTTATCATTGGAGAAAACTGTGAAAATACAACTGTTTTTGCAACTTCCATGATTCTTAAATTATATCAAAAAGCTTATAAAAATCATTTTTGATAATGTTTTGTTCATAGTATAACAACAAATTAAACCAATTGAAAGTTTAAGTTTTTCAACACTGATTTCCTTGGGAATACTGAGCAAAAGTATAAAGTTATAATTAAACAGTGAATAGACTAAGATTTTTATACTTAGGTAAAAACATATTTCAAGAGACAAAAATACATATCAAAGCTACTATGAAGGCTGATAATATTGACGGTCCTCCATTAAAACAGACAACCTTCTTTATACATGATGCTTTATAATAGCTATGTCCATCTTAAGGTAATCAATTGAAGTAATTACCAATTTCAGTCATACTAAAAATCGTACTGAGTCATTATAGTTTTATCCATACATATAAGCTACTGTTTAAACCAAATATTTTATTTCATACTTCCCTATAGAAAAGCCTAACTAGGAGCAAGTGCTGCAACATTTCCGACTCTAACATACTTTCCTGGATTTAATCAGTTGTACAGCTTCCTCTGACCCATCTGAATAAATGTATAAGCCAAGTTTATTAGGAGAAACACGAAATCAGGTTCATAACAGAATATAAACTTTTTCAACAAAATACTAAATATATTGGCTCAGTGCCCTAGCTCAGTGGTTAGGGCACCAGCCACATATACTGGGGATGGCTGATTCGAACCCAGCCCGGGCCTGCCAAACAACAATGAGAACTACAAAAACAGTCAGGCATTGTGGCAGGTGCCTGTAGTCCCAGCTACTTGGGAGGCTGAGGCAAGAGAATCACTTAAGCCCAACAGCTGGAGGTGGCTGTGAGCTGTGACGCCATGGCACTCTACCAAGGCCAACATAGGGAGACTCTGTCTCAAAAGAAAAAAAAAACTAAATATGGACTAAAAACAAACTCTTTTCAATACACACAAAAAAATCTGTTGTACATACAACTTTCTAATGAAGAATCCATTTTAATTAGAAATATCTGACTGTGAAACAGTAAATATAATGTGTAGTTATGTTAATATAGTATATTCGGATTTAATGTGATTCCTTATTTTCAACAATTTCCTCCTTTAATCAAATGGTATTAGCAATATCCTCTTAGAAAAAACCAGAATGCAAACAATTCTTTTCATTACAAGAAGTATATCCCAGAGTTTCATACAGTAACTGTTTAAAAGCAATTACATTAAAGTTGTATTACATAGTATCTTTTCTAAACTTATTAGTCTTTTTAGAGACTCATATACTATAATATTTATTCCTCTAGGCTTGAGTTAGAATGAAAAAAACACTGGAGTATCACAAGTGAGAGTCCCCTGTTAGGGATATGGTAATATTTAAAATACGATACTTTCCCCAAACCTTTGATTTGCTGAACTACACATCAGTTTAAGAAAATGTCTCAATTTTGAAAAAATTATCTCAGTGACCTCAACCAAGAAAGCCCATTAGACAGCACAAGTTTCATGTAAAGGACACTGCTGTTTAGCGTGTCTGGCACACAGCTCCTCTTCTCTAGGAGACACTAATTTTCTCTAGAGAACAATCTAGGAGTGAAAACATAATTTGGTCCTGATGATCTGACTAAAAGTTGTGAAAATTAGTAAGAGCCAACCAAAGTCACAGACAGCTAGCCTTGAGAATTTTGCTGAAACTACTGGCAAAAAAAAAAAAAAAAAAAAGTGCTCTTTCTTTTAGAACTGCTAGGCTGGTTGAATGTTAGTCTGAGAATGAATTAAATTGAAAGGAAGGCATGGCCCATTGACGAAGAAAAAGATTTTTGAAGGATATAAGTACTCAGATATGGCAGTACCAAAGCTTTAATAAATAAATTTCATACCAATGGATGGGGTAGAGTCAGGGACCAACCCTAAGGAAGGGTTTTTTGTACATCTGTAGGGAGATAACAGAACAGGTGAAACAAACCAGCCACAGGGTCAGTCCCTGATCCCCCAATGATATGAAATTGGTTATATGAATTAAAAGAAATCCCTTTTTCATTTGCTTTGATTTTTTTGTCACTTCCAGTTAAGAGCTGTGACTAATACATAAAATTTACTTGATAATCTCCAAATTAGTCCCAGCTCTAATATTTTATTAAGTCTAACAAAAAATTATGGAAGCAAAATATCTATTGTTGAGTGAAATACCTACCGTAAGAACGTTTAAAAGATTAAGCAGTGTGTTCTAGTGAAACAAAAATAGACCATGAAGTTGAATGATCTGAAAACATATAATCCTTACCTTGAGAATTTAGAGGGTGAATCTGACCACATACCCTCTCTGGACCTCTAAGAATATGAGAATGTGAGGGGTAGGGTGAACAGATAGCATTTAAGAACTTACAAAGTCCTTGATTTTAAGCACTGTAAGAAAATAGTCATTCTTGGTTAATTTGACTATTAAGTAGCTATTGACTTTTGTGGCTAAGTGGCTATTTGACTATTAATACAAGTTCACTTATTATTCATTAATTTATTCCTCCATTAAATATTTAAAGAACCTACTATTTGCCAGGTATTGCACTAGGTACTAAGAAGACAAGGATAACTAAGATACCATCCCAACATCAAGTGGCTCACAGTCTAGCATGGAAGAAAAACAATTGAATATGTAGAAAATTATCCTGTATGACAAATGAAAAAAAATGTCAATCATAAATGAGGTACAAAAACAGACTGGGGAGTGACTAACTCTAGCAAGATTGAGGAAAGGCTTCACAGAATAATGATATCTGAAATGAATTTTAACAGATAGAACAGAATAGTCCTAGCCTGAAGAAAAGGGATCTGGCAAGGAAATAAATGAGTCTCCAAGGCTGTTCAAAGATTATGAAAGGTTCCATATGCTATGCTATACAGAACAGAATTTACCCTGTAAGCAGTGAGGAGCTATGGTGTTTTAAGAGTTTATCAGATTTTTAAATATACTAACCTTTTATTAGAGTTCAAATAAGCATTTAGTGTTCAAAAATTGTGAATAACATACTAGCTGCCCTTATGAAACTAGAAAAAAATTCATTTACTAATGCAATTATAGCTATGCCTTTTAAACAGTTTTTGCCTCGTATATTATCTAGTCATGGTTTGATAAATGATGATGTGCAAACTGTAGTTTGATGAATGTGAGAGGGCATGGTGCTTAATACCAAAGTTCTTAAAACTGTAGAATGGGGCTCGGCGCCTGTAGTTTAGCGGCCAGGGAACCAGCCATATACACTAGGGCTGGGGGGTTCCAACTGGGCGCGGGCCTGCCAGATGACAACAACAACAACAACAACAAAGCCGGGCGTTGTGGCGGGTGCCTACAGTCCGGGCTGCTTGGGAGGCTGAGGCAAGAGAGTCGCTTAAACCCAAGAGTTGAGGTTGCTGTGAGCTGTGACTCTATGGCAGAGTGCCGAGGGCGACATAGTGAGATTCTGTCTCAAAAAAATAAATAAGTAAAAAAAAAAAAATACTGTAGAATGACAAGTGAAAAAACTTTTTAAGGTTCCTTTTAAGTCTTGGGAAAAATAATGCCCCTCCTCCAACATACACAACCTTTCTCTTTATGTCTCCTGTTTTCCTTGTGTGTAGTTATTGTGATTTATTCAACGCCTTTTCTCTCCCGAATCCCCTCTCCTCACTTGAAACTCACAAAGTTTCTCAGCCATATCCTAGAGTCCAGTGTCTTCCACGGCACTGTCCAAAACTAAGTTTATCATCTTCTCCAACACTACCAGTGCAATCATCGAGCCGCACCATCCCGTCGCTGTGTTGTGCGGCAAAATCTCAGGAGTTCTACCAAAATGTTCATAACCATTTCATTATCAAATGTTGCTAGAATATTCCTATCATGTTCACTGTTATTCCCGCAAACTACACCCTCATCATTTAAAGTCTGCACTACCACAGCTCCGCTCTCCCTATTTAGTCCTACAAACCGCATTAAGGTAGGAAGTGCACAAAGTAGAATTAAATTGAGTTCAGACGTATTTAATGTGTGTGGTCATTCTACAGGACTGAATGATTTGCTTATCTTTTGCCCTGATTATAGAGCGAAATGACTTCACAGGGGCCCACGCAGCACCATTATTGTAGACCCAAAGGTCACAAATTCAACTAACACTTTCTTCTTCCCCTCCTTCTATTTCTGTGAAAGATGAGGCGGCAGGGAAGAATGACGGATGGGTAGGAGGGAGGGGAATACTGGAGCCCAGGGGCGGAGGCTCCACTTCCGACTGCCACGCGTTATCAAGAAAGCCAAAACGGCTGGCTCGGCAAGCCACAAAAAGAGGTGGATCAAACTCCAAGAATCCTCGGGTAGTTGTCAAGGGCAAAGACAGAAAAAGAAGCTGCTCTGAAGAAACAGTCTCTTGCTTGTTTAGAACTCACCTGTCAAGAGCGGCGTGGACGGCGCCATGTTGTCCCGGAAAGACAAACCCATTCGCCCGTGTGAGAGTTCACGTTGGGTCGAACCCGGCCCCTACACGTCTCCTGAAGCGTGGAGACTGCAAGTTGGTGTTTCCGGAGCCACCAGCATCGGGGCCAATTCACTTCCGGTTTCGGAGAGCCGCGGAAAAGGACCCTGAATGCGCACGCGCAGCTCTGGGCGACGCTTTACAGAGCTTGGGAGGGCTGGGCTAGGGCGGGTACGCCCGCTTTCGCCCGCCCTCTCCTGCGGGCGGAGCCCGCACTTCCGCGGGGCGGAGCTCGCCCTGTGCTGACGTTGGCAGCCGAACCCGAAGTAGTTCGAGGCGGCTGGCTGCACCGTCCGGTTGTTGTGTTGCGTTTCCTTCCTCTTTCACTCCACGCTCCCGGCAGCGGCGCGAGGGCGTCTCGGCGGCCTGCTTTCTCCCTCCCGCGCACCCTCCTACCTCGGCTCGTCAGTCCGGCTTCGTCCTTCAGTCGGCGGCCCGCGCCCCGCTAGCGCTCGCTCCCCGCGCTCGCCGCGCCCAGGCCCATCGGCTGTAGCTAGCGCCCGGCCTGAGAGCCTCCGCGTCCCGGCAGCGCGGGCACCTGGAGCCGAGCCTCGCAGCGGCTCGAGAGGAGGCGAGCGTGCGAGTGTGAGGGGTGGCCGGGGCAGGTGGTGGCGCGGCGAACATGGTCGCCAAACAGCGGATCCGTATGGCCAACGAGAAGCACAGCAAGAACATCACCCAGCGCGGCAACGTCGCCAAGACCTCGGTAAGGAAAGAACGGGCGCCTTTCTCCGTTCCGCGTCTGGGGCTGAATCCTGGGCCCTGGGGCCGCGTCCAGGTCCCTTCCGCAGATCCGGCCGTCTCTGGGCTCCCGGTACCTTGGAGGGCTGGAAGCCCGAGGCTGCGAGCTGGAGGCTGAGTTGGGGGGGCCTGGGGACGGAGGGGAAACCCGTGAGGTGAGGCCCGGCGACCTGGCCCAGGATGCAAACTGTGGAAGTCTGGGATCCCAGTGGTTTCTTTGCATCTCAACAGTGGATTTTCGCTTTTTCAGAGAAATGCTCCCGAAGAGAAGGCATCTGTAGGACCCTGGTTATTGGCTCTCTTCATTTTTGTTGTTTGTGGCTCTGGTAAGTGTTCTGGGGGTTCCCATCTGGTAGGGTCTTGGGTGAAGGGTTTGGGATGACGTGGTGACGGGTCAGTGGTGAGTCTTAACCCGCGCAGTTCTCAATCCACCTGCTGGAGCACCATCCATCTATTTCTTACGAACCAAATTACTTGCCCCACATATGCACAGAGGGTGGTGCTCCAGAAACTTCTCCAGCTTGGTTTATGCTCACAGGAGATCAGAAAGGAGGTCAGGTCCTTGGTAATGACCAAGTGGGAAGAAATTTAAGACCAAACAAAAACAAAAAAACTCATGGAATGAGAATTTAGAATGTTTTGCAACTACATTATCAGTGCCTTTGCAAAGAAGGTTATAAACATCATGTGTATATGGAGTTAGAACTTAATTTAACAAGTAGAAGAATCTGTGGTCTTTGTGTCAAAATTAATATGTTTTATGAAGGAAAGCTTGAGCAAAGAATGGGCTAACTATAGAGGAAACGTACCTGATTTACAGTTTAATGTGTAAGACAAATGTTTTTAAATTAATAAGAGAAACAGTTTCACGTAGTGAGAAAAATTCCTTGTCTAGGCAACCTGCTGTTACAATGATAGACGTTTGCCTCTGCAAATGAGTTACAAAATGTCTTTCCTCCCTTCATTTATTAACTTAATATGCAGGCTGTTAAAATTGTAATAGATGTTTCTGTTTTTTACATTCTAAAAGTTTTTGAGATTTCTGTTTAACATTTCATTTTGCCTTTCTCCTGAACTTACCGATTGGAAGCTTTTCTGATAAATGGCCAAGAGCCAAGTTGTTTATATAACCTAAAGATGATCGAATTTCAGCTTTGTGAGAATGAGGAAACGTGCATATATAATAGGCCAGACCTTAAAAGGATGCTTAATTATTTAGGGATAAACCAAAATAACTCTATGCTAGAAAAACTAATTTGCTTTGGTGCTTTAAGTTCTTTCTAAAATGATTACTTACCTGCAAAGCTCTCTTGGCAGTTACACATAAAATTCAGGGATGCTGAGATTAAAAAAAAAAAATAACTTAGGGGTATTTATTTGTTTATTAAGGTAGGCTTTGCTTCTTACTACAATGAAATTAGGTAGCATTTGCAAATGTAGGAGTGAGTATCCTTGGATTCTTCAACTATCTTAATAAACATTTGCCAGTTGCCAGATCTGTTTTATTCAAAGCTTATGTTAATATGTGCTCTTTCTCTTTACAGCAATTTTCCAGATTATTCAGAGTATCAGGATGGGCATGTGAAGTGACTGACCTTAAGATGTTTCCATTCTCCTGTGAATTTTAACTTGAACTCATTCCTGATGTTTGATACCCTGGTTAAAAACAATTTAGTAAAGCATCCTGCCTCAGAATGACTTTCCTATCATCCTTCATGTGTCATTCCAAGGTTTCTTCACAAGTCATTCCAAGTTTTCTAGTCCATACCACAGTGCCTTGCAAAAACACCACATGAATAAAGCAATAAAATTTGATTGTTAAGCTGCAGTAGTGGACCCTACTTATTTAGTCAGTAAAGAGTAAGATTTTTATGTGGTTATTAAAACAATATGCAGACTGGGCAATTAGACAGTGTCTAGATTTCATTAATCCCGATGTGTAAATACAATTAGCTTAATTTAAAATTTGGAGTCTTGTGGTTTTTATATAGCTAGGCACTTTGTTACTTTCTCTTGAATTCAAAGCACACTCCCTTATGGGGTCACATAACTGTCTTGTAATAAGGTGCTTATAAATGGAACAACTACATAGTTAGCCTAGTTTAACCACAACCTTCAGCACCGAAAAATTTTTAAAAGGTTCTAAATGCCTAATGTAAAGGAGATGATTATAGCCACATCTATTTTAACAATTTAGTTTCTATTGTACTACCTTGGATTTTGCATGAGTGAGTATAGTAACCTAAGATGCCATTTAAAAACAAAATCAGTTGAGCATTTTGTGACTTAAATCAGTCCATGTGGTTTCAGTAAAAACTACCATGATGGAGTGAAGTCAGTCTGGGAAGGTTTGTTTATGTCACATTGATTTAATATATCAAAGAGATTTACTATAAACAAAATTTTGGGGGAAAAATACTACTATTTTCCCACACTGAGTCCAGTGTGCCATAAGACATCTTAGCATGTTAACAGCACTTTTAATAGCAACAAGGCACATCATAAAAAGTTATGCTTAGTTTGGAAATGTTTTTTCTAGATTTATAATTGAAATGCCATTAGGGTACTAGATAATATCAGTGACATCTGGAATTAAGTGGATTTACTGATAAGGATCAGTGTTTAGTCTTCCCTTTGTTGTATGATTTTATAGGTTATGATTGATTACATTTTCTTTTACTAATGGTAAGAGTGAGGGTGATAGGGCAGGTTTTGGGTTTTCTAGTACTGTTGAAAACTTCCAGTAATGGCTATTTATATACTTAGTCATAACTTAGTGAAAAAAGCCTGAGTAGTATCTATGTATTAATGAATTGGAAAAAGAAAGCTGCTTATGTTTGCTTTGTTAATTGCCTCAGGATATCTCTTTTAAAATAAGCTTTTAAGAGGAACAGAAGGGAAATCTGCTACCTATCTTATACACAGTGTGAACCTCAGAGAGAGCTTCTGATAACCCTCAAATATGGAGAAAAGCAAAGGAGAGAGAGAAGTGGTTAAGGATGCTTGAGAACTTAACTACTCTGGAATAGGAAAGAAATCAGCTGACCTTGGGCCAGCAGGTTTTTAACTGACTTGTTACCTGCCTTTCTCACCCAGTAAATCAGCCCCTATACTTGTTTCCTTCTTTGAAACAAGCGTCTTTTGACTAACTAATGCTATTTTATTGTAACTTTAAAAATGAAAATTATTGCTCTAAATTCATAGCAGGTGCCTTATTCTTTGCTTAGAGTCAAACCATTCCATGTCATAATTTTCCTTGATTTGCTATAGATAATTGGCTTTAAGATTTTTTGGTTTTGTTCTTTAGTGTACAATGTTTTGATTAATTTGACTGTTAAATTGCTACAGCTGGCAATCATTTTACATATGTAAAATTGCATTCCCTTTGTATTTCATGTATAATTTACCAATGGAGTACATTTTATATTCAGGTTGGATTATGCATGTTTGGATAAACAAAAACTGTCTTATTGAACTTCTTTAGAAATAAAGTTCCCTGAATATCTGATGCTTTGCTTCTAAAAGAAAATGATTTTATGGACTTACCCTGAGTGTACTTTTTATAGTTAGTAGAAAATGATTGTAAAGAATGCCTAGTATTGCATTGTACTTATGTTGAGAAATAGTACCCAGAGGCACAGATGTAAGGTTTATAACTGAAAATGGGTAGTGAGAAGAAACCTATAACAAGCACAATGAATTAAATATTTCTTCGCTTAGGATTTATTCATCTCATTGTTACCCATGTCAGTGTCAAGGGAAAAGCACAATTCATTGATCTCCCTTTCCTAGTTGAATTTTATACATCACCTAGTGTTTATTGAGCACACTGTGAGAATAAATACTTTGTTGGGGTTGTCCACATTATTCATCTACTCTTTGTGGGTTAGCTCTAACATTTCAAGGAGTTGTCAATTTCATTGTATTTGTTGGGTTGTATATAATGTTGCTCAAAATAATTAAGTGGGCTTCCAAAATAAGTAAAGATTTTAGTTGTAACAGGATACATTGTAATAGGCTTTGATTTACATTAAAGAAATGTATGTACTCAACTACAGGGGCATGTCTTTTCTCACTGAAGTTCTTTTAGCATAAAGAACTACTATATAGAGCTGGATTATATTCTCAGTAGCAGGTTCACCAACAAAACTTATTGTGTTTTAGCATCTGTAAAATTTAGAGTGTCACTAAATTGCCCTTTTAGAAATTGTTCTTAAGTATGTCTTTACCTACACTTAGTTCTTTTTTTGAGATAAGAGTCTCAGAAGACAAAGAGTCACCCTGGTAGGTAGAGTGCCGTGGCGTTCCTCACAGCCCAACCTCTTGAGCTCAAGTGATCCTCTTGCCTCACCCTCCCAAGTAGCTGGGACTACAGGGACCTGGTACAACACCTGGCTATTTTTTTAGAGGTGGGATTTCTTGCTCAGGCTGGTCTCAAACTCCTGAGTTTAAGCAGTCCACTCCCCTCACCCTCCCAGAGTGCCAGTATTATAGTCATGAGCCACTGCGCCTGGCCTTGAGTTTGTTTTTTGATTTATTATTTTTGCTGCAAACCCTAACTTAAAGAGGTAGAAGATAGCTTCAACAGCAAAGTACATCACTCCCTCAAAGAAGCTTTTTCTGTCTGAACTTAGTTTCACTCCAGCTACTTTTACTGCTTTATTTTCAAGTTGAATCAGGACATTTCCTTATTTGGAAGGATTACTAAGAGCAATCAAAAACTAGAAATTAAATGGGAAAAATTAACTGTCTACGCTTAAATTTCACAGAATTCATAAATATAAATGGACATAAGACATGGGAATTTTAATCCTACTGCTTAAATTCTCAGATAAATAAAACCATGGATTTATTGGATGAATACTAACTACTATATCAGGTATGTGGAGCTGTGAATATGGAGAGCCCTCGTAATACTCAAGTACCTTTCAGTCCAGCAGAGGGGGACAGACAATAAAATGAAAGCAAGATGATAATTACGATAAGTGTTTCAAAGGAAAAGTAAAACCACATAAATGTTTTTTGACAGCTAAGTGGAGTAAACCAGGAATTAGAACTGGAGTTTCTTGATTCATTGTACTCTATAGAAACCAGAGGAAAGATTGCAAAACTTTACGCTCACTTGTTCTCACGAACCCTTTCCTACTTCTTGTACAAAAATTATTTAACTTGCCAGTATTAATAAAAAGGGAATTTTTTTTTCTTCTAATGCAATTTCTTTCAAAAAGTAACTCAAGTGATAAATTTACTGTTGGTGTTCACGGCACAAAAATGCAAAGATCAAATTGGTAATGTCACTGACATTCAAGATTACATTTGAAAAATTTTTGCTATAATTTTGTCTTAAAATATTTTCACCTGTGATATTAAAAAATTTAAAAGCATTTTATCCTGATTCAAGCAGCAAAGACAAAAAAATTTTTTTAAATGATTAGTCCAGTCATCAAAAAAATGCAGTAATGTGCCCTTTATGGGTTCTTTGTATACTAAAAGTTAAGTGAATGAATCCTGTATGAATCTTTTACTTTGGGATGTAAATAGAACAAATCTGTAAATTTAAACAATTAAAACCATAACAAGTTTTCCTTTTTTTCTCATTATTATGGAGAAAGCCTCTCAAAATAGGAGAATGAGAATAATTGATTTTGAACTGGAATAATTGATTTAGGGGCCTTAAAAATGATTTTGATTGGCCCCTTTATTTTACATTTAAGGAAATTATGGCCTAGAAGACAGATTATCTCTCCCGACACCAGTGAACCAGTAGCAGAGCAAGGATTGGAAAACTGGTCTGTGGAGACCAAACTAGGTCTTTAGAATGTCAAGTGCCAAGGGATTATGTTTCTTTAAGTTAACCTCCTTTTCCCTTCACAGATTGTCTATTAATCTCATAAACCTCCCCCCACCCCCTGGTTTTCCATGGAGGTAAAATCTGAAGATTACTGAACTTCAATAGCTTCTACTACCATTGGGATAAAATAACTCTTTATCTTTGATTTTCAGGACACTTCCACAGTCTACCTTTTCAGCCTTGTCCCCACAGCTTTCCTCAATAGAACTTTCCGACTCAAATTTTTCAAGATACCTTTCACTTTGTTTTGCTCATTTCCCATACATTACAACACTGCTGGTTCAGCGCCTGTAGCTCAAGAGACTAAGGCACCAGCTACATACACCAGAGCTGGCGGGTTCAAATCCAGCCCAGGCCTGCTAAACAACAATGACAACTACAACCAAAAAAAAAAGAAAAAGAAATAGCGGCATTGTGGTGGGCGCCTGTAGTCCTAGCTACTTGGGAGGCTGAGGTAACAGAATCAATTGAGCTCAGGGGTTGGAGGTTGTTGTGAGCTGTGATGCCCCAGCACTCTACCCAGGAAAACAGCTTGAGGCTCTGTCTCAAAAAAATTTAAAAAACAACACTACCTACCTTTTCAGATCCAGCTTGAGTTTCACCCCATCTGAAAGTTTTCCCTTGCCATGGAAGTCAGAGGCATCCTCTTTGGGATTGAGGACTCTGGACAGGTTAGCATCTGTTATGTCTCCATGTTTATTAGTTTTGTTTCTCAGAGTGTGGCATCGTTAAGGACAAAGGCCATACTTTTCTCTTTTTTACATTTCTCACCTACTTTCACTACCCTTCAAGGCTAGTACGGAGCTTTACACACATACTGAGAACATTCAAGTTGAGTGATAAAGTGAAAAAGAACAACAAATGCCTTATGGCATCAGAATAATCTTTTTTTTTCTTTTTCAGTTTTTTTTTTTTTGGCCAGGGCTTTGAACCCATCACCTCTGGCACATGGGGCTAGCACCCTACTCCTTTGAGCCACCAGCACAGCCCTGGCATCAGAATAATCTTTAAAGCAAGAAATGTGTCTTTTTGTAAAATCTGATACCATAGTCATCCCAACTACTTTCAAACCTGATGACCACTGGTTGATGGCTGGGTTCAGCCCCAGAACTCAATTTCTTTACCCATGAAACAAACTCATGCAGGATGGGCTTGATATTTGGAAACACATCAACAGTGTGATATTTACCCTTCAGTCATATTTGAGAAGCATTCATAATAAGTGTCGTTGGGAAAATGAAAAGGTGCTTTATCAAACAAACCTATAACCAGTCAGTCCGGTTACAAGGAACATCAAATAGCCATGCTTGCTGTTTGGAGCAGATACCTGTGGGCTGTCAGCCACCACCTGTCCCAACCCTGACCTACGGAGGAGGAAAGGGCAAGGACACCACACAGGTGTACACTTCTCAGTGCCAGACTTGTGCAAACCTGGCAGGTGTAACCCACACCAAATACAGCCCCTGAGAAGAAAGATCTTGCTCTCCTCACAAAAGAATTCCCTGCAGTAAAGGACTGTCATTTTGACTGTCATTTACATGTGGTGTGGTTACCTAACTAGATCTGATACGGGACAAAGGAGACTTCAGAGTTCTTTGGGGAAAACATCATGCACCAGGCCACACAGAGCACCCAACTTGCAGCACGCTTAGCTCCTGGCACCCAGGAATGCCTTGGGACCAAGACAGAGACACGAAGGCACTGCAAGTTTGTTTTGTTCGATGTGTGGGGCACTAATACTTGCATGATTGTAGATTTTGAAACACAAATGCATCCAGGATTGAGACATAATAATTTCTAATAAAGCCAAGATCATAAAAACAAATAAATAGTGAGGGTATCCGAGCATATTTCCACCTAGCTCCAGCCTTGGTTACTAGTGCACAATCTGCCTGTAAGGGGCTGCATGAAGAAAGGTACCCAGAGAATAAAAACCATCTGGAAAGCAATTTGTTCTTGAGACCAGTAATCAACATGTTTTTCCAGGCCAGTCACCTTTCTTTTTGTAAACATTCTATTGAAATGCATCTGGATTGCCAAATCCATGCAAGGAAAACTGACCTGACCTGGGGGAGTTTAATACCCAGCCAGGTCTAATCCCCTGCTAACTACTCAGCATGTAGCCTGGGTACCAGCAGTTAAACTGGAAGCTTGTTAACAGTGCAGGATCTTGGGCCCCACCCAAGGCCACTAAATCAGAATCTGCATTTCACAGAATCCTCAGATCATCTGTCTGCAAATAAAACTTTGAGAAATACTGAAAAGAGCCCTGAGCTCTAGCTCCAGCTCTGGCGCTAACTAGTCCTATGATCTGAAATGTCACAACCTCTTTGGGTTTCTACTGGAGAAAAAGAAAACACCTTCTTGCCTCACACACAGTTATGAAATCTAATTGTGGTAAAAAGCACTTTGAAAAGTTGGAAATACTCTATGCAAATAACATACCACTGACTCTGTGAACTGCAAAAACAGAGATCTCTGATAAGGATCTCTTCCTTATTGAAAACAAAAAGAAATTATAGTCTTCATACTGACTTAGCAGAAAATCACTCACCCTCTTGGGATCACTTGCTATTTATAAATCTCCAATAATACTTTTACCTTTCCAAACTTTACCTTTTGAATGCCTCTCAAAATTTATAGGGCTATGAATCATG